AGGGTGAAACCTGAATCACCAGCTAGTAAAATTCGCTATGTAGAGTGAAATCTGAGTTTGAGTTAGGGTTAAGGTTAAAATTCAAGTTTTGCTGTATTTTTTATTATACAAAAGCAGATTTCAACTCTCATACGATCTATATAGCAGATTTCACTCTATATAGTGAATTTTATTAGCTAGTAACTCAGGTTTCACTCTGTCGTAAAATTATTATATGTTCCTCACTATTTTAGTCATATAATTAATAAAATGATAATATTCATTCATAGGCAGAAGTTTGTCTGATTGGCTAATAAATTCAATTTAATTTTATATTATTTATACAGTTTAGAATACTTTTTAAAAAAAATGACAACTAAAACTAATCATAATAAAATAAAAAAAGCTGTATAGAAGGTTTTATTAGAGCTGTAAGATTTTATAGCCAAAAATAATCTCTAATTCTTATCTGTTTAAAAAGTTAAAATGGCAATAACTTCTTAAAACCTGATAAAATCAACTTATTACTAAGCTAATTTTTTAAATGAACAAGAATTAAAGATTTTTTTGACTATGGAGTCTTATAGCTCTAATGAAATCTTCTATATAGCTTTTTTTATTTTATTATAATTAGTTTTTGTTTTTTTTTAAAAAAATACTCTAAATGGTATAAATAATGTAAAATTAAATTGAATTTATTAGCCAATCAGACAAACTTCTGTCTATGAAATATTCATATATTCATACATATTATTGACCTACTACTTAATCCAAAGTTACTAATATTTTAATTCTATGATGTTCAAATTAAATAAAATATGAATATTAATACAAACTTACCCTCTCTTCTGAGCCTCTTTCTCTCTCTTATTAAAAAAAAATGTATATATACCGTAATGTTAGCTTAAATTAAACTTAATTTAGGCCAGAATTTGAAATAACGCCTCTGCACATTATTTCATGCTTATAAGTATATAGAATTTTTATTATTGCTTGTGTTTTAAAAAAAAATTATTTTATAAAATATTTATATGTATTTTAATAAAATATTATAAAAGATTTAAAATTTATTTACATAGCGAGCTTTTTTAGATTTACTAGTCTTAATTTCAATTTGAGTAAAATGATCTTTTCCTAATTCTTTATATATTATGCAATACAGATAAACTTTTTTAAATCTATTTGTTAATGCAGTTGGCAATTCTAATAAGCTATCTATTGCTCTATACCAATAACAAAGTTGAATTTGATCTCCCTTTTTATATGAATAGTAATTTGTTTTAATAGATAAGTTACAAAATACATGTTTACGAACAAAGAAAGTGTTATATAATGAATAATCCCTATCTAAGATTGGTCTACTACAAGCATAAAAAAATTTTGAATACCAATTGTCATTGTAGTTCTTTATCTTCATCAAGTGAATTTAAACTATAAAGACTTCACTATTTTCTACATGCTGTACATTCTACCCATCTATTAATATTTTTATGTGTATAAAGATTATTAGGATCACATTTTTGTCTTTCTTGATTTAGTAATAAAGATGAACAATAATTTTTATTCTTTTTATTTCTATACAAAGAATTAAATAAACTATAGTAATTTGAATCTATATTAAAAAGTAATTAAAATAAATATAACAGTAAATAAACTAATTATAAAAAAGCTTAAAACAAACCATCTATAGATAGAATAGGATCTAGTAAAAAGTTAAGCAAATTAAACTCTTCAAGTAACATTCTAATAGATTTACAAAAAGAACAACCATATTGCATACACTTTTTTTATCTTTAAAAAATGTATATTAGTACATAATATAAATTAAAAAAATTATATTAAAAAAAATTAAACTTGAAGAGAATACAGTAATAGACAGCAAAAACATCTAATACAGAGAGACCTCTCTAAGTGCACCCCCTTGGGGGTATAGTGAAAAATTCTAAACATGTGCATATAGAGAGGGTGTGCATTTATAGAGAGAAAAATATATAGAGCAATTATAAGCTGGGACTAGATTATACCGTGCATTTAAAGAGATTTTACATAATAGGTGCATTTATAGAGGGTGCACTTAGAGAAGTCTCTCTGTATTTATATATATGTAAAATATAAAATCATTATATATATTTCTAACCAATCAGAATTAATTATACACAAAATAACCAATTAGAATTGATTATATAATTCTTAAATTTGGTATTTTTAAAAAAAAATTGGATGTTTTTTGCTGTCTGGTACTGTATAATCTTTGTTGATAATGTAAATTTAAAAAAAATTAAACATGAAAAGAATATAATCTTTGTCGGCAATGCAAATTTAAAAATTCCATTAATTTTTTATATTTTTGTAATTCTGTCCAAGTTGTTTTATTTATTTGAAGGGTATTATCAATGTTTTCATTTCCTAAATTAAAAATATTATTAATTTTTCTTATAAAAAAATATATGTAAAAAGATGCTTAATCTTAAATAAATCATTTATATTATTTTCTAATGCAGGATTAAAATTTTTAAATGAATTATTATTTAAAACTAATTGTATAGTTCTTTTATTTAAAAGATATTATATATTCATAATACTATCTTTTAATTCTTTTTTTAAAAAATTATTATTTTCTGTAGCTTTTTGAATTGCTTCAATAATATCTAATTGTTTAAAAATTTTTTCTTATTCTAAACTACGCTTATTATGTGCTAAAGAAATATTTTGTAATTTTAAATTAAGAATAACTATATTTTTTTTGCAGGATTTGCCTAACTATGATAGGATGCAGTTTTCATAGCAATGATTATATCAAAATCACTTTAAAAAATAATAAAATAAGTAAAAAATTTGAACTGATCCAAAATTTGTTCTATAATCAGGGCCACCATCTGTATATAAACATAAAATTAGTAAAATTTTATTAGAAAACTTAAGACTAATAGTTTGAAAAAATTCTGTTGCATAACAAATTGTATTACTACTTTCAAATATAGTATTTTTATATTCTATATAAACCTCTCTACTATAAAAGGAATCTAAAATATTATCTGGAGCTTTACAAAAAATAACTGAAGAAGTAATTGAAAGTTTAGTAACATCATGATTATATACTGAAAGCTAACTATTTACTAATACTATAGTTAGTCGATTTCGAATATTAGTTGATATAAAAACCTTTTCTCCAATTAGAATTTTATATTTATCATTAGCAGAAATAAAATATACAAATTTTCTATATAAAATTGCAAACTCACATAAATATCTAAAATATGCAGTACAATAATATATATTAGGATGAAATTTTTAAAGTTGTTTATTTTGAACTTTATACTTAATTTCAAATTGACCTGTATATTGCATTGCACAATTTGTTGTTAAGTTTTTAGCCAAAATTGTAATCAAATCTACTCAATACTTGGTATATAAATTGTTTCTAGAAGTAGATCATTATATTGAAGTTTAAGATAAGAAATAATTATTTTTTAAAGATCACATGCAGAAATAAACCATGGAAAATATAAAATAGTTTCATGACATCTATCATCTACAGCTGGAGTATTCTAAATAAATATAATAAATTAGTAATAAAACCTATTATAAATTATAAATAGTATAAAATACCTTATTAAAGTAAGCTTGCAATTCTGACCAAAAAATATCAAATTTTGATCCTTTAAATCTATTATTTGTTCTAAGATCAACAATAATATTGGGGTCCTCAAATTCCAACATTAATTTTAAACATTCTTGCATACCTTTACTAATATTATTAAAAGTAGATATATTATCTATAAGATCACAATATAGCATATTAAGAATACTTGAATTTAAAGTTTTTACTAATAAATACTAATAAATAAAATAATAAGTAAATATATTATTAACTAAAATCCTTAATTACTTAACTTTGTTTATAACACTTTTTCTCATCATTCGAGTTATATAAAATAATTTTATTAAATGCTGCAATAGTTCGAGCATTACAAGTTTCATATTCATTATTATTAGAATATGATTCACTAATTCACTATATATAATTAAGATTTCCAAGATAATTTCCTTGACTATATCTATATAAAATATATAAAAACTTACTAATTTTATTTTAATAAATAAAAATTAAAAAAATAAATAGAGTATTGCTAAACATCACCGCAGGTGATCATCACCGCTCATATGATCGACCAATAAAATTGTAAGATCTTGTGTAACCAAAACAATAGCAAAACTAAGAAAAAAAGCCAAAAAACATCGATAACAAGATATTTTATTATGTTAATGAATCTTCGTACACTAATTAAAAGTTCTCAACACAAAATTTTATATATAAATTCACCTTCTTTACTCCAGCCCTACCTAACCCTAACTCTAAATTTCAATTCTTTAATTAAATATGTAATAGAGCGATGATGATCACCTGCGGTGATCTTTAGCAAAATTCAAATAAATATATATATAAACATATTGGAAAAGATAATTTTAATTCTAGAATCTATCTATGATGCTCAATACATTGAGATAGAAGAAACTCAGAAATTTCAATAAAACTATAAGGATCTTTTGTAGCAAGATTTTTTTGTAATTCTTCATAGTTAGAATTAATATTTAAAATTATGAGAATTATTTGTAAGTTAAGATGACTTTTGTAAATGTCCTGCATATTTTCGAATCATGGCAATAAAACTAAAAACTTCAGGAATAATTTGTGCCCAATATTCTTTACTTGCCCATATTTCTCTCACACTATATTCAATAGATTTGCAATGCTAAAGTCACACTATATTCAATAGATTTGCAATGCTAAAGTAATTTTTGGTAAGAAAGTCTTTCTTTTTTGTGATACGATTTAAAATAAAATGTATTATAGATAGAATTTGATTTGTAAACTGGCAGCTGTAGAAATAAAGTAGGCATGTGACATGAACGACTTTTTAATAATTCTATATGTGGATCAACATACCAAATTGCACTAGATAAACATTCTAAAAATAATTTGCCTCTTGTATTTTGACTTCCAGCAAACCACCCTTCACCTTTTTCTTTAAAAAGATCAATAAGATCATTATATAGACAATCGCGACTATTTCCTCGATTTAGTTTTTCAGGAAAATAAAGTTGTTTGGCATTACTCATCAATAACACATTCGCATCTGGTAATTCAGGTTGTATAGTTTCTTGTAACTCATTAGATTCAAGTAAAAATCGAACCATCTCAAAGTCTAATTGAACTAATGCCTGCAAATAATCATCTAGTCCATCTTGCAACATTGTCCATTTATCACTCTTTTTTTCACGACCTAAAACTTGAATGTTCCTTTCTAAGAATTGATCATTCATTGAAGGTTCCAACATTTACAATATGAGCAATGTTAATGGTAGCTTCGTATAAAACGAAGATTCCTCAACTACAACATGAATATAATTCATACTGGTCGTATGTACGTACTAAAAAAACAATTGTGCGAAAAATATTCGCAGATCGCATTAATAATGGAATTAAAATTTGCATTTACTTAGAATAGTAAAGTTAATATGCGTATTGACATCTGGTGATCATCTCAATAGAGTATATATGACATAATTTGATATCTCTATGAGGTGCAATTACAAAAATAGTTAGTTATAAGATACGTTAATGATTTTTACAGATCATTGTTATATATTTATTTATTGCTTTAAAGAGTAATACCCCAAACAGCATCAACATTAGAAAATCCCATTACTTTATTTGTTTCTTTTTAATACGATGTTACTTTTTTTGCATCAGCTTAATCGAATTTGTTCATTTTAGTTCGATCGACGTTACTAATTTTTAGGCCAGACCAAGTTAATTCTGTTTACATTACCCTCATAGTAAAAAAAATTTAGATAAATATATATGGGGCTACGGGACATTTCGAAAAATTTTTATACAGTCACAGAACAATTCGAAAAATTTTTTTTTGAAAAAAAATTTTTTTTTAAAAATTTTACTATGTGAACCACCCATCCCCCCCGGAGGGGGGGGGGTAATGTAAAACACATAATCAACTTGGTCTGACCTTATTGTTATTATTCCTACATGTAACGTTGGGGTGCGCGATATACTATGTAAATCAAAACTATACATGGTATCATATAAAAACTTAATATCTAAAATTTTATATAGCATATAATTTTACTTATAATTTTTCGTGAAATTTAAATAGATGCACAGCCTTAATGGTTTAATATTTTAGGATAAAATTTTGTAGAGGCCAATACTATAGTTCTACAAGCAAAGTTACGAAGCTATTTTTCTTATTTAAATATAAAAATAAAGAAATAGTTCTACAAGCAAAGTTACGAAGCTATTTTTCTTATTTAAATATAAAAATAAAGAAATAGTTTAGCCAACTTTTTAAAATTCTTCAAGTTTAAAGGGAATGGCTTCGTAACTTTGGTTGTAGAGTTATCATATTGGTCTCTGC